TGCTTGCATTATCAGATTAACAAAGACTTTAAGCTATTTAAAATTTTTTCATTTTAACTTATCATACTGGAAAACTTGTTCAGAAATAGTCTTTAAGTTTGTTTTTTTTTTTTGAATTTTTAATTTTTTATTAAATTTTTCATTGCACTTATCATGATATTAGCAGTTTAACTATTACTTAGATTGTATGACATTAATTAGAAGTAAACAATATTTCATTAATTTTAGGCTTATTCACTAGTTAAGAGAAGAAAGTAAATGTTATCTCTGTTTTTCATACTTTAATTCAGTATATTCTTAACAAATTTATTTTCTCATTTATTTTCAAAGCTTTTAATTTGACTGACTTTCTTCAGTGAAATCGACAATACCAGCAATTAATAAAATTCTATGACTATGCCTAAACAACTAAAATTTAATTTAATTGAGGAACTAAAAAAAACAGAAAAAAAAACGGAAGCATTAGAAATAGAATGCTCTTTCTGTATTTACCCTTTCGGTTATAAAACGAACGGAACACTTCCGTATTTCATTTATGTCTCCCTGCTATTCTTTCATTTGTTCGAAAAAGAATTCTTCTACTTTTATCATTTATTTCTGTATTTGAAAGATTAATATTCAACCACTTTTCATCCAATAATTAATTAATCTTTAATTAATGAATGCTTGCAACTTTATACCTCAATATTAGCAGTTATTGATATAACAGATCGAGAGTCATGTCAAATTATCCGAATTAAATTGTACGAGAAGTCGAGAAATATTGCTCGAGAATATCAGTTTGTCCGGAAATGACTGACAAAGCATTCCTTCCGGCTGAATTCATTTCAGTTTTTTTCTGTGGTCACAAATTGTGCATATTGTTTCCTTCTTTCTCATCCAAACCAGTTTTCTGCTATTTTTTCTTTTTTATTTGTTTGTATTCGTTGCTACATTGTTAACGATTGATCAGTTGGGCGCAAAAATCCATCCAATCACATTGAAAACAGCAAACATTAATTTAAAATTAATGTTCTGTATTAAATTAATCGTTGTTTGTTATGATCATTGGATAAAATACAAATAAAATAAAGCAGAAAGAGATGAGAGATGAAATAAAATGAAATGAAAAGAGAACTTTTGAAATTTCTCAAAATAAAATACCAAATTAAAAAAAAAAAGAGTTAAATAAGAAATGAAAATGAAAGATTGAAATTCATTGAAAGAAATTTGAGACGAAATATGATTGTGTGAAGTGGAATGTTTGTTTTTTTTTTTCTTTTCTTTTCATTTCATTGAAATTTCAAAATGTTTTAATAAGTCTGCTCATTTTCATTTATTATTTCGTTATATTCTTTATTTTTTCTTCAATTTCATGCTATCTTCATTCTCAGATTTTTCTTTTCAGTTCTTTCAATAATAAATGCAAATGAAAATTTCAATGAAATGGGAAAACACACAAACGTTCATTTCACACAACGAAATTTGTTTCAAATTTCTTCTCTTGAATCTCAATTTTTCTTTTAACTTTATATTTCATTCTTAATTTTTTTTTTTTTGGAAAGTAAAAAAAAGAATTGTTAAAAGTGTAAATTGAGTTTAATTCGGTAAAAAGTTAACAAGCAATGTGCAAATTGCATGCATTCAGTTTATATTATATGAATTATTACTATTCCTGTGTTATCATTAGCAATAGTGAAATTTTTAATGATTTGATAATTTAGTGTGCTATTCATTATTTCTCATATTATCATGATATGAAATCCACTAGTTATCATATTATCATGATATGAAATCCACTAGTTATCATATTATCATGATATGAAATCCACTAGTTATCATATTATCATGATATGAAATCCACTAGTTATCATATTATCATGATATGAAATCCACTAGTTATCATATTATCATGATATGAAATCCACTAGTTATCATATTATCATGATATGAAATCCACTAGTTATCATATTATCATGATATGAAATCCATTAATTATCATATTATCATGATATGAAATCCACTAGTTATCGTATTATCATGATATGAAATCCATTAATTATCATATTATCATGATATGAAATCCACTAGTTATCATATTATCATGATATGAAATCCATTAATTATCATATTATCATGATATGAAATCCATTAATTATCATATTATCATGATATGAAATCCACTAGTTATCGTATTATCATGATATGAAATCCATTAATTATCATATTATCATGATATGAAATCCACTAGTTATCATATTATCATGATATGAAATCCACTAGTTATCATATTATCATGATATGAAATCCATTAATTATCATATTATCATGATATGAAATCCACTAGTTATCGTATTATCATGATATGAAATCCATTAATTATCATATTATCATGATATGAAATCCACTAGTTATCATATTATCATGATATGAAATTCACTAGTTATCATATTACCATGATATGAAATCCATTAATTATCATATTATCATGATATGAACTGATTAATCATATTTCTTTTGGGGAAAGAATTTTTTTGCAAAAAGTGAATTTTTTTTGACTATTTTTTAACATTATCAATTTATTTACCGCAACAAACCGAAATGAATTTTCTAATTAAATAACCATTGAGCTTTGATCTCTCAAATTTTTAGGTTTCAATTAAAAATGTGAATGCTACAAAAGAGAAACATATTAAATTGCAACATTCCATTACCATTAGTCTTTCATCGCCGAATAAACAAATTTTTAATTTTTGTTGTTTTTTTATTTTTGTTTTCAAATTTTAAACTAAAATGAAAACCGTCGTATCATATCTCTTTAACACTTTTAATAATACTTTTCAACAATGTAAAATCTGATGGACTTCTACTGTCATTTGATAATATTATGTGATTTATTTACTTTCAAGATTGTAAAAGTAAACATAATATGCATAATGTAAGTTAATATTCATTGAAATCCATTCACTCTAACAGTTTAATTCGTTTTCTTTTTCTCATTTCTATGGTAAATACCTGAAAGAATTGAAAATTTACAAATAAATTTACCATTTGCTTCATTCCATCTATTAATTTAACTCTAATATTTTCATTTTTTGCTTCTTATGGTTAGCAATGGAAATATTTTAGATTTTAACATAAACAGAAAGAATTTCAATTGTAAACGTTAGACCAGTTTAATTGTTAGTAAAATATCATAAATTAATTGTTTACATAAAATAATTACCGGCAAAAACTGATTAAAACTTTTATACTATACTTTATGATACCATAATTTTAAAAGAAAGAATGAAAAATACTTTCCTTTTAGTTACTTCTAGAACTTCAAGTATTATTGATAAATTGATCTATTATGTATTCATTCACTGATAATTTACTGATAATATATGCTTGGCATATAAAATTTATTTTAAAAAAAGAAAAAGAATGAATGAAAAATGAGAACTGAAAAGTCAAAAGTGATAATCAATCACATCGTATCACACCAATAAATTTGTTCACTTTTGTCATTTTGCGATAAGCATTTTTCAGGTTGACCTACTAAATTTGTAAACAATTTTGGCCTTTGAATTTTTCTAATTGATTATATCTGTTTGATTAATAAAAATTAACAGTGATAGTTAGTCATTAATACATTATCTCAATGATTGGTTATTATCATTTTAATTAATTTACTACTTTTCAACCTTTAATTTATGCTACTGTAATTTCTACGTTTAGCTATTTAATGAAGAATTTGTATCATAAATCATTTAATTTAATTTTATTTCTTAACCCTTTTTCGAACTGAAATATGTAATGTAAGAGTGAGAGAAAGGGAATGCTAGAGAGAGAGAGAGAGAGAGAGAGAGAGAGAGAGAGAGAGAGAGGGATGATGAGAAGGGCAATGGGGCGGAAAGCGGAAGAGATGCGCTCGAAAGAAAATTAGAAGGAAGTTAATGAAATTTGTTATCAGTCCTATGCAATGCTCCCTCTCTTTTCGTAACCATTTGAAACATTGTCGTTGTTTTGACCAATTCTAATCATGGCCATATGTCATTGTCCCCATTTGAGCTGCTTAAATCTCAAAGGTATTTGAAGACTTACTTACTTCAATGAATAAGCTTACTCTCAAAAATTTTAATTTCTAATAGAAATATAGAGATCTTATTTTGGTCTTATTTTTTGCATTATTTAAATGATATTTTTATTTTAATATGTGTGCAATCAGGTCATTATAATCACTATGAAATTAAATTAAATTATTCACTCTTTTTTAAAAAAGGTTGAAAAGATTTAAACTAGAAAGAAAAGGAATGATAGTACTTTTAGAAGATATCACTTAATAGAAATTAGATAAATGATTATCAATGTGCAGTTCAGTTGTGATCAATCCCATACTGATAATAACAAAAAATGTTTTTCTATCGAACATTTCTCAGTAAGTTTTGTTATCAGTGTTGTTATTGCTGCTGTTGCTGCAGCTATTACTACTACTGATATGTGATTCTGTATGAAAAGTGATAACATCAGTGAGACTAGACGAGTCATTTCGGATTGTCCTTGAAGTCATCTTGGCCTCAATTTGTTGTCTGTGTGTGATAATATTTCGATTCTAACATACATATATGTCTTTGTAATTCTTTAGCCTCTCCTCTTATATCATTCAGTTTACTGACAACAGGGCGCCAATCACAGATTATCACTAACATCGCCTCATTATCATTATCAGTACTATTATCGATAACACTGCTTACTATATCACTGCTATTATTCTACTACTATTACTATTACCTGAAAAGTGGAAAAGTATTATTTGCGAGTGATAATTGTCTTTTAAGCTTTTTCAAATTAATTTCTTATTCCAAATTGGCATACAGCAATTTCTACTTTTTCTTTTATAGCAAAAAAGCATTCAGCAATTATTGTCTGTCACTAAGTGCGATCAATTAATTTAAAAATTTGAAATTACTTTATTATATGAACTGGAATAATTGAATTAATCTGTGATTACTATGTGGTGCAGAAGGAGAAGCAATCAGATGAGATCACACTTCACACTAACACTGATAATTTTGATAACTGCTGCACCGAATGCTGTTTTGGCTGAACGAAGTTGCTTCACAGCAAGCCAAATTGCTGGTATTATATTTGTGACATCGTTTACGACATTCTTTGCTGTCATTGGCATTGCAATGCTACTATGGTACTTCTATCGAAATCGAACAATTGATAAAAGTATGATATTTGCGACTCTAATTTAATCTGTTGCTATTTTAGGAATTTAAAAAATTCTCAGACTTTGCGTATTTTAAAAATTGTTAAACTTATTCAATGACACTTTTATCTTTTTAAATGTTAGTACAACTAACTTTTAAATCTAACAAAGTACAAAAAAAAAAAAAAAGAAAATAATAAAGAAAAATTTAATTAAATGCTATCAGTTTTCTGAAAGGCACTTTTTTTTTCGGATTTTTTAAAGAAGATTTTAGGTACATTCAACTTTTATCAATTTTCTGAGTAATTTAATTCAAAATTCTATCTAAAAATAATAACACAAAAGTGCTAATATAAGAAATTCTGGAAATCCTTGAAATTTATCAAAGTATAATAGTACTTGTTAAATAAAACAATTGAATAAATAAGTGATTTCATGATAGAATTTTTATCTTTTCTTCATTTTTGAAAATAAAATCAAACTTGAAATGAATTATATTCATTTAGATTATTTAAGTTCTTTAATCCTTTTTGCAAAAAGTTAATTATTAGCCGATGAAATTTGAGAAATACTTCAAAGAAGGACAGAAAAGAAGAAATTGTAAAATTTAATATATCAACTTATCACTAATTTTTTTTTCATTTTTTGACAAAATAAATTATGAAATTTATGAAAATAATAAGAAAAGGTAAAAATATTTGTAAGAATTTTCAAGAATTTATTGTGAAAAGAAACTACTGAAAACTTTAAATAAATACTCAATAAATCACCAAATTTCTACTTATAATTTGATAAAAGATTAAATTCTGATTAAAAATATATAAATTATTGTGATATCCAAGAAAAATTTTTTTTCAATTGCAAATTTGAACTGAAATATAAGCTATTATAATGATAATTGGAAATTAAAAGTGAATTTTATTTTGTTTGAGAGATTGGTGGAACGGTACCACCTCGTTATCAGTGATCGTTATCAGTAGCATTAGAAGACAAACATTCACTCAGCAAATCGGCAAAATGTAAAATTAGGCAAATTGGATTTGAAATCAAAAAAGAAACAATTTAATTAAGAAATGTTTTTTGTTTCATTCTTCTTGGAAAGGACAAAAGAAAAAGTATTTATGATCTCAAAAGAAATGTTACGATACGCTGTATTCGATAATTTAATCCAATTATTTTATTTGCTTGAAATTTACTCTTTTCATTTAATTAAAATATTTTTGGATTAAAGTATTTGTCTCTTAGCTTTTTTTTATATTTCACAAATTTAAAAAACGAATTCTTATTTCAAATTTGAAATGAATTATATTCATTTAAATCATTTAAATTCTTTAATCTTTTTGCAAAAAGTTAATTATTAGCCGATGAAATTTGAGAAATATTTCAAATGAAAACAAAAAAGAAGAAGTTATAAAATCTAGTATATTAATTCAAATTAATAATTTCAAAACAAAACGGACAAAGTATGTAATTAAACGTTGCAAATTAAAATGGCATTTTATTCATAAATTCCATTTCTTTATCTTTATGCAAAAATATTAAATTTCCAAAAAACCTTTTTTTATTTTTTGAAAAAATTAATAAAATGTTTAAAAAATTACAAAAACAATGTATTTTTTCATCTTTTTCGATATTTTTAAACAGTTCAAATGTGAAAACTCAATAGTATATTACGACAACACTTATTTTCCTTCCATATTTCATTAATGAAAATATTAAAATGAATAAAATCAAAATTTGAAATCAAAATCTTTTTTGAAAATTATTTTTTAATCCAATACAATAACAACAAAAGTGAAAGAAAGTATTTTATTGATTTGTCTTTATTACTTCAACAAATCATTCATAACTAACTGCAAAATATTATGAAAATTTCATTTCATTAAACTAAAAACTAAAAAATGCTTTCATTTCTAACAAAGTATTATCACTCATTCAAAGATTTTTTGTTTTCATTTAAAACTTCAATAAGTAATAGTAATAAATGAAAGTTAGCAAATGAAATATTACTTTGGTGAATAATCAAAGTTAGCGATAATATCGCACTTTCAATGCAAAATATATTTTCCATTAACTGCGCCGCATTCATTTTTTCTTTCCTTTCAAGAAAGAAAGATGAAAAAGCTAACTTAAAAAGAAAAAAAGTGAAATTAAATTAAATTTCATTGATCAAAATGAGAGATAAAAATTTTCTGAAATATTTTTACGCTTGAAAAGAAATAATTTGTTGGATGAATATTTCAAATTTAAATGCTCAAATATTTCAATCTTTTTCTTCGGTCTTTCTTAGATGGAATAAATTAACTTTCAAAAATTGCAGTATTATTAATGAAATGCATTTTGTCATATATTTTTTGTGACAAAAAAAGGAAAAATGTCTCAATTTAAGGCACATATTTCTCTCACTTTGATGTCACTCTTGTCAACTTTCATTTCGTAGCTTTTTAAATTAAATTATAACTTATTTTTTGATAAAATTAAATAATTTCTTTCTTTCTATTCAATTTTCAAATAAACTGAAACTTTCTCCTTTTTCGTTCAAACTTCCCTTATCATTGATTGTTTTAATAAAATAATAATTATTTCTTCTAAACGGAAATTTCAAAAGAATTCAGCAATGATTATTTAATTAAATTAATGATTGGTAAAGAAAGTTTGAAAAAAAGTTTGACGAAAGATCAATGATTGTATTTAGAAATATATCACAGCATATAAAATTTAAAAAAACATGATTATCAAGAATAAACTTATAAAAACTATTATGATAAATAATTAGTAATCAATTTTTAGAATTCATTATTTAAGTATTAATGCTTTCACTTTATGAAATATTGAAGGGAGATAATTAAAAATTTTATAAAATATTTAAATTTTACAATTGCTTTTCATTTAAAAATTGTAATCATTTTGCAACGCTTAATTATTTACCATAAATTATTAATTTTAAATTAAAACAAAACAAACAAAATATGTTTTCCATTAAAAATTTCACTGTTATTTATGATAAATAACAATAAAACAATAAAAATTTGAATTGCAAAAAGTTTTAACTCATTTCATTCTCATTTCTAAACAAAAAAAGAAATGAGAAAAATTTAAAAAAAAAAAAAAAAACAAAAGAAAAGAAAAAATGTGTGTGAAATTTTAAACATTCTAATAATTCACTGTTTTTTTTTTCTTTTCAAACAAACTGTTTGTGAAATATTAAATTGAGAAAGTTCTTAGAGATAGATATTTGATAATACCAAAATGAAACACTTCAACTAAATTAAAATAAGGCCGATGAACTTTCACCGCCATTTTACTATGATTAAAATCAATGAAGTGTGTAATAATTGTGCGAATAATTTAGCAAATACAATTCTTTGTCGCCAAAAAAAAAAAAAAAAAACAAATGAAAAAAACAACAACAATAATAATAATAATATGATCATTTGTTTGTTTACTTTTTAAACTATTATAAAATAATTTATAACAAATTAAATTTATTTTATTTACTTATAAATGTTATAATAATATAACTATAAATTTATATTTTTTTTTCCAAAATACATAAAATTTTTAATTTATAGTAAAAAAATTCTTTCTGAAATATTAATTAAATGCAATGAAATTTCAGATTTTATAGCCACAATTGAAAATAATGCTGTAAAATCGGGGAAAATGGTTTACAGTGAGCGAATGAACGAAATGGAAAGTAAAGCAGTTGAAGCGATCATATCACCGTCATCGATTGATAAGGTTAGAAGAGATAATAAATTCGTTTATGATTGATCTCTCAAGGAAAGCAAATGATAGATGAGAAAAGATGAAGGGATTGTTTAAAGGGTTAAATTTGAAATTATTTATCTTTGCTTTCAGTTGCATAACAAATTATTTTGAATTTCATTTTCATTTAATTTTAATTCTTTCATTTTTTTTTTTCCAAAGAAAAAATGATTTCATGTTGAGATGACATCATGCAGTTCGTTGACATGTAAATGTAACGATGACTCAGATGATATTGGCTTGGAAAAGCAAAAAATTCAATCAAGACAAAGACGCCAGGCTGTATCTAACGATCTCACAACTAACGGTTCCACCAATATCGTAATGAAATTTCAATCTAATTTATTTTAGGTGATATCAAATTTTGTTAAAAATTTCCATATCAATGTTTCAATGCTTTTTTTCTCTTTTCTCTTTTTTTAAAAAAAAAATAATAATTTTAGCTGGAAGATGTCGTTCGATGCTTGCTGGAAAAAGATACCAGCGCATTGGGTTTTCAGGTAGCGCAAAGATCAGATGGTATCTGTATCAGTTATGTCGAGCCTAATGGTCCGGCTGATCGTTCCGGAAATATTTTTGTTGGTGAGTTTTTCATGATGAATAATGTGAAATAATATTATTTGCACTACTGATTTCATTTAAAAGTGCAAGTTTATATTTTTTATTATTAATTAATTGTATAACTAAGAATAAAATTAAATTTCAAATAAATATTATAGCATACAGAACGTTTTACATCATTCACTGAAAATTGGCAAATAATTATTCAAATTAACAATTAATTCCGTTAGAAGTGGAAATTTCAAAACATTCGTAGCAATATGATTTGATAATTTCAGGTGATAAAATAAAAGAATTAACGATAACCTTTGAGAATATGCCAATTAGTGACGCTTTGATAATTCTTAGCTGTGCTTCAACCTATAAAGTATGTTCTAATTTATTGTTTCTTCCTCTTTTTTTTTTTTTTTAAATCGTTTAATTTTTATCTAAAATATGTGAGTTCAAACTGCTCAAAATTATGTAAATAAAATTAAATGCAAATGTAAAAACTTGAAAATGAGATTGAATTTAAATTAAGTACAAGTTTGAATGTGAGTAAAATTTACGAAAAATGATTTGAAATTTTTCATAGTTTAAGTTTATTCAAAAATTTTTTTTTTTGCAAAACTTCTAGAATTTTCGAGTACAATTTGCAGATTCGATTAGAATTAGAAAGAGCTATAATCAATGATGCAATCCAGCCAAATTATCCGGAAACAGAAAAATATTCTGATATCTCTTCAGATTCCATTCAGCAATTTTCTACTCTTTATAAAAGCTATTCCACTTCCGATTTAGCACTTCGATTGCAAAAAGCGCAAATGTTTGTTCTTGAAAAATTCATTTCGTTTAAATCAAATATTATCATCGATCTAATTACTATCTTTCATTAAGGTTCGATAAGGCTGTAAGTGGTGGAAGCTTTATGTCCAAGCAGAAATATCAACTTCCACGACGATCGGTTATAAATACAATTAAAGAAGAAACGTCATCGATTCCTGAGACTCCCGTGACGTTGTCGCCAAATAGTCCACGTTCAGATTTCACGGAAGATGCTGAATTTGTTATGACCCAACCAGTTATTAGTGAGGAGACTATAGTGATCAGTGATCCATTTCCAATCTTGCGAAGCCTTCGAACTTCTCCCAGTGAAATGCTTTCTCAACCGCAAATTCCGTCCTGTGCCGTAACTTCCGGAACTGATTCAAAATCAAAATCGAATTCTGCATCACAAAATACGTTACGGCAACAATTAATGCCGCAGATTCTACCGTCATCCAACGAACATTCCGTACTTCCGCTGATACCACAAGGAAACCATAAAGTAGATGAAATTAATTGCAACGGATTTTCAGAGTTTGTTGAGGTAAACTTTCTTAATAGTGAAATAAAAAAGTTTTGATAAGATCTGTTGAAAATTAAAGTAGTAAATTAAGAGTAAACAAAAGAAAATTTAATGCTTAACTCTAAGAGATATCAGAATGCACAGGAATTCTTATCAGTTATGTTAGTAATCAACCGGAATGATTATCAATTTACCAGCTGGACATTTCTCATCTCTGTTGGATTTTCGATTTAACATTTCTCTTTTGCAATCATTTTTCAGACAGCTATGAAATGTTCAGTTTAGTGTAGAGCAAAAGAATCAAATATTGTCCCATTTCTTGATTAAATACTTAATGCGACAGTATTTTGATCACTTCGATCGAAGTATTCAAATAAATGACATTGTGCACTTCGTTTATTCCTTTATTTTTTTTCATTGTACATTTTCATTTTTTCATTTTATACATTAAACAATTTTCAGCGATCACATTTCATCTATTCAAATGCAAATATCAAAGATGGCATCCGAAAGAATTGTGTCGAATTTTGTGAATTAATTGAGCCGAAACGTGATTCAATTGTGATCGAATTTGAAGAGAATCAGGGAGACAATAGTTATCAACAAACTGATCAAGAATTGATTAACTTACCAAACTGTAATGGTACATTTCATGAAGTAGAAAATAATTTGCATAAAGCTAATTTTGATAACGACAACAGCGCATCAGCGCCAATAGTCGATGCATCAAATAATACAACTATTAATGGCAATCATACTGAAAATGATACTAGATCCGAAAATATTTGCAATGTAACTAATGCAGAATGCAATAATTCCAATCATCCAGTTGTCAAGATTGAAGCATCGGATAATTCGTCTCAGAGAACAGAAGGATTGGACAATTCGTCTCGGAGAACAGAAGGATTGGATAATTTATCTAAGAGAACAAAAGGATTGGATAATTTGTCTAAGAGAACAAATGTTGCTGAAAGCAAATTCAGTAACTTCAAAACAGATAATCGATTTTCAAACAATCATGAAGAAATTGCAGTGCAGTCAAATCATATAGATGCAAGTGAACTTAACGGCACGCATATAATGGAAAGTAGTATACCGGTTTTGGAGTCACCGTTGATTCCCCGGAAAACAATTAATGATGAGACACTTCCAAATGAGACCAATCAAAGATCATCAAAACAGAGTCAGTTGAGGAAACTGTCCGGTAATTATGGTACTAATGAAGTAAGGAAAGTAAATGGTATCACCGATGACTTAAAAGATGAAGGAAATAACAAAAGTAATATACCACAAAGGTGACCTTTTGACATTGAACTATCACTCAATAATCATTTTTTAGTCAAATTTCAATAACAATTTATGAAATTTCTATGTAATGCTTAGTTGTCATCAATTGCAGAAGTCCAAAATGGAGTCCAAAGCTTCAGTCACACATTCCAGTTGTTACTAGGACACCATCAACAAAATCCAAAAGTAAACTTCCAAAAGTCGAAGGTAATAAAGTTTTGGGCAATACTATGCGCAACAAAACAGCACCTGATGATACCTTGAAGGTAACAATTCTTGTCAAACACAAACTTTCCTTCTTAATTAATTCAAGGTGAATTCTCTTCTCTTATCTATGCTTATCATTTCTACTGCATTTTATTATAAATTCAGTAAAAAAAAAATAAAATTTTAAAAATTATTGAACAAAAATAAGCTTTTCATGCATAAATATTTTATTAAATTATGAAATTTTATTGTATTTTAAGTTTATTAAATTTGTAATTTTATTTTTCAGAATAAAAAATAAACTTTTGTTTGACCATAGAATTATTAATAGTAAACGAAGAGTTCCTTTAAGAGAAGTAAACAAAGAGTGAAAATGTTTATTTTGCAGAATGATATGAATGGTGCATCATTGTATATTGCAAAGAAAGAAGCACTACGGAAGACCTATCTTCCATTTTCAAAAATAAACAAAAGGTAACATCGCAATTTGCATAATTCATTAGCCATTTGACTTTAATTTATCGTTTCTTGTTCTTTTATCATGCAATATCATCATTTTAATTAATTTTTTTAAATCAATGATATTAATGAATTTACTACTTTTAAATTAATTTCCGCTTTTCTTCGAGGAAAGAATACGAAAAGAAAAGTATTATTATGATAGCATTCACACTGTAAAAGATTTATTATGCTTTCTGTAGTGGAAGCAAAAAATGTTTTTGGAAACAAACCTTTATGATTTGGTTAAATTGTTATTCGGGGGAGAAGTTTGATGTCAGGGAGATGTGTTGGATGCCAGCTAAATATTTGGGCAACAATTGAATAAACTGATTTAATTGACAATAATATGGTTATAAATCTACATTGATGTTAGACAATGATCCAAACAAAGGAGAGGAGGTGCTTGCATGGGCACCAGTTGCTAATAAAGAGCTTATTAGATAACCGCATGATTATGATAGCTAACAAAGAACAATGTAGATATCCTCATGATTGTAAGGATTGCTAACAAAGAACGATGTAAATTGTTTCAATATGTAGAAGCATAAATTTGGAAACAAAGAGTCCGAAGTATAAGCATTATTTGCGGAAATTACGTAGATATCTTTACTACAATTTGCAACTCATATTTTTAGATCGCGATATTAAAATCCGCGACACTCCCGACCGAAGGAGCTAAATGCTTTAGTTCGTTGGACAGCTTTGGTTGATTGCTTCGCCTTATAGCGCTTCTAGTTCGTAGAGCAATTGGTTCTTGTTCATTGACATTTTGCACTGATTTGTTAAACATTGTTGGTTGAGGGTCAATTTCCTCACCTTTGACTTCCAGTGGGTATAACATATTCACCGGTCTGTTGAGTATTTTTCCTTTCGGTAATTCTATCGAGACACTTCTCACTTCTCCATCCTTTCCTGTTTTGATTTCTCTTATTCTGGCTAGTTTCCACATGCCACGGGGAATTTCTGGTTCATTTAGTAACACAATCTCTCCCTCGTGGGGAGTTCTTTTTACTACATCTCTCGGAGAAGAGTGTTCCCTTTGTGCTCTTTCTTTAAGAGTATTTAAATATTCCTCTTTCCATATTTCCCAGAAGGCATCGAGGGCCTTTAGTGTATTTGACCAGTATTGAATGAGTTTTTCTCTCGAATCCAATTCATGAGGGATAAAATCATCCATTTCATTCTTGTTTTTAGCAGGCATGATTAGATGCGCATTCGGTAGTATAAAGTCAATTGGACGCAATATGATACAATCATCAAAATTTACGTAAGTTAGTGGTCGAGTATTCAAAATACTTTCCACTTCCGCTACTAGCGTAATCAATTCCCGTTCCCATAATAACTTTCTGCCGATGGCTCTTTTCATTGCCCTTTTTGTTAACCCAATAAGTCGCTCATATACTCCTCCGTTCCAAGGCGCCTTTGGTATTATATTTTTCCAGATCATTTTCCTTTCCGCTAGGAATTCATTTAATTGTTGTTTCACAATGATTTTAAAAATTAACTGGAATTGACCAGCGTTGTCGCTTAAGATTAATTCTGGAAAGCCTCGTCTTGCTGTAAATCTTCTGAAAACATGTAAAAAGCTTTCGGCTGAAAGAGTTTCTACTACTTCTAGATGTACAGCTCTTGTTGTGAAACATGTGAATAGTGCTACCCATCTTTTTGTTAGCCCATTATCACTCCTGATATTCACAGGACCTAAATAGTCTAGTCCTACTCGCGCAAAGGGTCTTGATCTTGTGGTCCGAGATGCTGGAAGATCAGCCATAGTTGGTAATTTGAATGGTTTAGTTGTCCAGCGTCTGCACTTCATGCACTTATTCAAGATTCGTTTGACTTCCGTTCTACCTTTTGGGATCCATATCGTCGATCTCAGATTTGAGAGTGTATGAGCAATTCCAGCATGATACAGTTGTTCATGTCGTTGCTGAATAAAGAGTTCAGTTATGGTGTTGTGTCTCGGGAGATATATTGGGTGTAAGTTACTCTCTTTCATTTCAGAGTTAACTACGCGGCTTTTGTATCTCCATAGTTCGTTATCATAGAACAAATTCCATTTGATTATTTCATCTTTGGTAACTCCTTCTGACTGTGCTTGTTTGAATAGCACAATTTCTGACAACTCGTAATCCTGTGTTGTCAATATATTCTTTTCTTTCGTTGCCATCTTTAGCCAAGGAATTTCCCTTTTCATTGTTAATCTTATGAATTTCAGAACCCAACCAGTTGTTCTTATTAATCTTGACCATTTGCTAAAACGACTAGCATCTAAGATTCCGAAATGTTTGTTTATGATAATTGGTTCTGTGATGTGGGCCACAATTTCTTCATCCTGGTAATCCTCATTGTAATTGTATTTCCACTGTGGCCATTTTGATTCGTTTTCTGTTAACCACTTTGGTCCTTTCCACCAAAGATCATATCCTTTTAGTTTATTCGGAGAGATTCCTTTTGTAGCTATATCAGCTGGGTTTTGTTCACTTGGGATATATCTAAAATGGATTTTCGCCTTTCGTATTTCTTCTACCCTATTTTGTATGAACGTTGGTAGTAAACGGGAACTATTGTGAACCCAATGAAGCGCACATTGAGAATCGGACCATAAAATTGTTATCACGTCCTCAAGCTCTTTTTGTTTTAATACGAATTGTACCATTCTCACTCCGATGAGTATTGCCAGTAATTCTAATCGAGGTATTGACATTCCTTTAATTGGCGCAATTCGGGATTTAGCAAACACTAAGAATACTTCTCTTTCTTGAGTTCGAATGTATAAAGCTGCTGAGTATGCAGCAGTTGATGCGTCAGTAAAAACATGAAATTGTACTTGCTTGGAACAATTTGTTGTGAATCTTGGTAGATCCTTTAGTTTCTTTGGCCATTCGTTCGTGAGTAATTTCCACGTGGTTTCATCTTCCTCACTTATAGTTTGATCCCATGAAAGGTTCTTTTTCCACAAAGTTTGGAGAAACAATTTGAATCTTATCAGTATAGGAACTATGAATCCTAGTGGGTCATATTGTGAGGCTACGAATTGCAATATAATTCTTTTAGTTAATTTCTTACCAAACCATGGTTTTAACGTTACTTGAATGATATCTTGTTTGTGGTACCAATTGAGACCTAGAATTTTTTTATTGAACTTACCTCTGCTCGATCTTGTACCGGAAGTTTTTCATTGACTTCTTGGTCGTTAGAGAGAAATTCCCGTACATTCATTGATGCTTCATTGAATATAATTTTAATTTCCTTATAATTGGAAAGAGCTTCGTTGGTTCCTTTGGTTGGTATTATAATGTTATCGACATAGAGATTTTTCCTTAACTCGAGTGCGATTTTGCTTTTACAAGTTTCCAAATGATAATTGAGTGTAGCGGACAATAAAAATGGAGATGATACAATTCCAAATGGAACTCGTTGGAAACGGTAACAACTTACGTTTTCTTCGTTAACTGGACTTCGAATGTCTTTCAACCAAAGAAATCGAGTGCAGTTTCTATCTGTTGGATGCAATTCTATTTGCAAGAACGCCTTTTCTACGTCTGCTATTATTACATTTTTCATTGTACGGAAACGTAGCAAAACTCCAACCAAATCAGGGAGTGTTATTGGTCCCCGATATAAAACATCATTTAAACTTTTCATTCCTTTACAATGAGCTGATGCATCATAAACTATCCTCAGATTTGTCGTGGTTTTATTTGGTGTTATTACTTCGTGATGAGGCAGATAATGAATAATACCAACTTCATTCATTTCCGATGACACTTTCTCAATTATATTGGAATTGAGTTGTTCTTCAATAGTTTGATTGTATCGACTTAGTAATTGAGGTTTCATTTGAAGCCTCCTAATTAACGACTTTAATCTTCCAAGGCAAAGTCCGAAATTATCGCTTAGTTTGTTCTTTGAATCTTTCCAAGGCCAACAAACTTGATATCTTCCCTTGTCCCTAGTGATAGTTTGTTTAAATTGCTGCAATGCTTTTTCATCATTGTCAGAGTTTATTTTGTCTTGTATACCCATTAATTCCAGTTTCCAAAAGTGATCTAAGTCTGGAATATTGACGGCATTGACTTGAGAAATCGGACTTACTGATGTGGTTTCTGAAATACTGTCGTGTATTTCATTTATATACCCACTTCCAGCTATTATAGGTCCAACCTTTGTATGGATCAATGAAAATCCTGATTTTAAGTTCTCTGCTTGGTCAAACTGGATAAACTTGAAGAAGTGATCCGCACCTATGAGTATGTCCGGTTGTTTCCATTTGTTTTTGAAATTACTAAACTGATTTCGTT